AGAATCCGGAAAAGTGTGTCAATATGTTCAAAATAGGACGGAAATTGCATTGTTGAATTGTCACTCTATGTTGTTGGACCTTCTTAGAAACACCCTTAGTTTTTACCTGTTGGGAGGGTGGTTTCAAATATGTAGTTTATAGATAGGAAATATTCCCCAAATGCTCTTTGATTGCAGTTTCATGTTGTCACCAGCTTTCAAAAATCTCTCTTGAATCACTTTTCATTCGGTCATGATAGATATATTCGATTTACCATCCTTTATCACACCATCATTATCAAACCATAACCTTTTCTAACACGTGTAAACCTCATCCATTCATATGGGTCTATCAAGTTTCATTTTCTTTAAAATTAAACAAGCACGGGGAAGACTGTGTATATCTTTCTAAGTGTACAATCACACTTTGAGCTATCTGAACCTACTTTCTCTGTCTGTTTGACTTTCTGATGAATAAACTTCAATCCCGTTCGAGATATATTTCCAACCAACTGTGAATAAAGATTATTTTCTCTAAATATGCATTATATTATTGTAATGCTACGATCAAATGGTGTTTGTATCTCATTATGATGTTTGGTTCATGGGGTTTCAATCTCTATATAAATCACTTTACTATTTCTCAATCAATTTTTCAATGTAGCATAAGCAGATTTAACTCTGTTAGTTGTTATATTTTCAAAGTATCAAACTTGACCAGTTCAAGTACAAACAATCTTCTCCTTCACCTAGTCTTGAGTTGTACTTTCAATAAATTCCAAGAAAATATAGATGTTTCTCACACACCCTCTTGAAATGTATTACAAATTCAACATATAACTCTTTCTTAGAAGAATTTACTATAACATTCCAAGAATCTATTATACTTTTCAATATGACACCAACTTTGATCGTTTTCCCATCTTCGCCCTGATTTATTTAGTCCCTATTGTAGCCTTATGTCCACTTCTCACATTTTTTATTATGTGATACCTACAAAATAATACATCTGATGTAGAAAATATTTTGCAACTAAATTTATCAATACGGTTTCACGGTCATCGATAATGAACTTTTGTATGTTTTCTTGGTCCTTCAACATAGTCCATCACGTTCTAAAGACCAAGCAACATAGTCTACGTTTTTTACTTTTCAAAAATGCAAATCTAATTGAAATATCATCTCCGTAGAAGTAACACCAACAATTTCCAAAAGCGGAAGCATGTATTTGTTGATCTTATATATTGATCAATAATGAACAAATTGAAAAATATGTTTAACAATTTGATGAAATTAGGATGAGTCCAAAATATATCTTGAGCGATTTATTTATCCTTGCACACTTTGTATATAGATACATAATGGTTATTATCCAAAAACTTCAACATATTTCAGTTCTTGAACCTCTTATCACCTTATTGTTTCGGACCCGAATATTGTATAGTTGCTTAATATTTGAGATATTTTGAGATCTTTTTCGTTTCAAAATTACAAATATGTTTTTGAATTGCACCATGTTCAATCCAATTTTTTCACTATATATAAAAAACCATTAAATATATTTATTCATATTTTTTAAGAGAAAACTTAAATACAATTCTTTAAGTGTGGTTCTTACTTTTTTTCAATGAAATATGACAAGTATAGTTAAATATAATTTAAAGAGTTAAAATAAGAGAAAATTACATATGTAAGACGAAATTATACATTTGTCATATTTTCTTTAGAAAATAATAAGAATCACACCTATAAAATTCTATTTAAGTTTTATCCTATATTTTAATAGACAAATATTTATTTAATTTAATCAATTTATAAATGTACATTAACAATTATATATTTTTTATAAAGAAATATTTTTTATTTGTTTTGACAGAATAAATGAACACCTTTTGAATGTGTTTTAATAAAATTAAATTTTGAATGGTAAATACTTTTTTATTATTTTTTAGTAAATACTTTAAAATACTTATTTAAAATAAATAAATTGGAAAAAGCAAAAACAAAATTGATATTTAAATGAATTTATAATTTAATAATAAAATTTAAAAAGTCACCCACTGCTCACACTCTCAAAGTTTGCCTATTACCTCTATTGGTGCTACTAAATTTTGTTCACTTATAAGTGACACATTGATCTCACTCACAAGAATTTATTTGTGTCTGACATGACAAAAATCCCATTTATGGAAGTCAATTTGCAAAGCACAACCATGTATTTTTTAAGTTTCATGCTTATATATGCTTGGTCAAATCCCATACCACATCTAATATTCTTCTACAAGGTTCACTAAGCAAGGACAATTTATACTCCTTTGGTTCATTACAAGCACCTACAACCCTACTGATGTTTTAACTCTTATTTATTTGAGATAATTCAAATAAATTTCAATTACCTGCTAATAATAGTGTGACAATTATTGATCCCTCGTATTAACAACTCACAATCTTTATCAACACCTAGCTCACCATCTATCACACATTTAACTCAATATGTCAGCATTATACCTGAGCCATCTTATTTCCCTACACCTCCAAATCCACTTTTTCTTCATCCTAATACTACTCATCTGGATCTTTATACTCTTAAGAGTTCAAGTGTAAATCAATTCTAACACGTTTGAAGCCACCCAGTCAAATTGAAACCCGATAGAACCGTGATCCGATTTAACCGAAAACTAAAACGGATGAAAATGGTTTGTGTTTTCTCAACCGTGGTTTTCTTTGGATTAACAATTTACAATCTGAAACCAGCCCCATCTGACCGACTAACTTAACCTATTCGTTGATCATCATGCCATAGGATCAGAGTTGTCAATAGTGAGCACTCCAGCCGCTATAGCGGCGCACCGTAGTGGTGCGGCACCCTACCGCGAGCTATTTAGGGTGCGGTAGCAGAGATGAAAAAGCGGCCGCTTCAGCCGCGTTCCCGGGTAGCGGGTAGTGGGAAGTTCTCAGACGGAGCGGCTCCGGTTCTTTTTTTTTTTTTTAAACAATTTTCTGGGCCAAATTACTTAAATGCCTCTGTTTTAAAACAATTTTTGTTTTCTTTCTCTCTCCCTCATTCGCTGTGTTTTATCGTGCCCTAATTCTTCAACTCTCCTTCTACGATTCTGCCGCCATCTCCCTGCAACTCTCCTTCGATTCTTCCTCCATCTCCTTCTGCCATCTCAGGTAATTTCTTCTAATTCTTCAACTTATTCTACTTCTTCTCTTTCTACTTCTTTTCTTTCTACTTTCTACTTCTTCTATTTTGTTTTGTTGTAAACACTGTTTCTTTCTATTTTGAAGAAGTTGAAGATGAAGAATTGGAGGAATACGAAGAAGATGAAGAATTGGAGGAATATTTTGATGATGCTACATGATTTCTATGTTTGCTTGAATTTTTATATGATAGTACTAAGTTTGAATTTGAATCTTTATGTTTTGAATCTTGATTAAGCATTGTTCTTTGTTTGACATTAGATTTTATAAATATTTTATAAATATTTTATGAGTGTTGTAAAATTAGTTTAGTATTACTTGACATATGTTTTATAGATTATTATATAATTATTAGTATACCAAAAGTTATCCCGCTATCCGGGATCCCGCTATCCGGGATCCCGCTATTCCCATTTTTCCCATTCCCGGGAATCGGCCGCTCCGCTCCGCTATCCGGGATTAATAACTCTGCATAGGATGCAAGTAGATTTTCAAAATAAATCAAAACTCAAATGGCTTTCTGAACAAGTACAAAGTTAGATTGGTTTCAAAATATGTCCATCAGCAACATGGATTTGAATTTACTGAAACCTTTTCACTTATTGATAAGCATGTCACAGTTAGGGTAGTGCTAACCTTAACTATCTCTAAAAAGTGACACATCACCCAGCTAAATGTTATCCATGCCTTCCTAAATGAAGTTCTTCATGAGGATATTTCTACGCAACAACCCCATAGATATGAGAGTTGAGGTTCTCACACACATCTAATATAAAAATTAAATGTTAAGAATCGGGCAGGGCCAGCATGTCGCAGACAAGTGTTCTTACTATCTTACAAATCTTAAATTCTGATATGCCTTTTTCATTTTGAGTATATATATGTAATAATTCTTGTTTCTTAAAATATGGGAGCAGGCAGAAATCAACACTTCCATGATGTAACACAGAACCATTAGCCAACAACAATAATGAATTGAACATCTTCACTATTCTGAAACCAGGTTGATGAAAACTTAGTATCATACAGTTCTTCCCTTTGTTTCAGAGATAACCTTAAGCATTTCAATTATTGCAAAGCTGAAGTACTATTATCTGCAAGGCCTATAGCTACAACTTCAGCGGAAAATTTCAATGAGCTTAAACTAAGCAGATTGTTTCAGCATGTAGGTAAAGATCTTAAATATCAAGATTAGAATAATCTAAAAATACAAGTTCATTTACCAGAAAGCTTTAAACTATAAACAATACCAATGAACTCAATAAAAATCTTCCTTTGCCTCAAACACTGCAACTAACAGGTTGCCTTAATTGTTGTTATATGGAGTGTTTAGCAGTTGTACAACAAATTTAGGCCAAATAGTTTGGGTATATATACAACAAAATGGATTCTTACTATTGCTATTTAACAACATCCAATAACAATATTAACATCATTGGTATAAAAATAATAAAAAAAACTAAGAACAGAAAGCACCACCACCAGGTCCAGACAGATCACCTGAATGAATGAATCATCCAGATGAAAATTAATCTACAATTCAGTCAAAACAATTTATAAGACAATACAATTCAAACATATTTTTACCAAGGCACCAGTAGAGGAATGAAATTCACAAAATTCATGGCAGAAATTTCAAGGTAACAAATCAATCGTACATAGCCCAATAGCGTTCAAAGAAAATTGGTACGTACCATATACACCAGTACAAATGTCAGGAAGGAAGATCGCTAGATTTCATGGTATACAATCTAAAATCTGCAGATATAAGCCAGTAGTATTACAAGAAAAATTAGTAAACAAGGGACTAACGCCTTTCAAATTTCCCCTCTGTAACCTCCAGATCCAAAATAATCCTTTCTATTATTTGCAATTGCCACACTCTTCTGATGTTCTAATTTAGGACAATCACGGATACGATGTCCAAGCCCGCCACAATACGCACATCCCTTGACACCACTTATGCCTGTGATTTCTTCAGTATCTTCCATTGGATCATTCAGCTCACCTAAAACCGGTGGGATCCTTTGTTTTGCTTCTTGCAATAGGTGTTTCAAATCAAGCAAAGTTGTCTCACTTTGGTTCTTGTTTATAAACGTGGTCGCTATACCAGTTTTACCACATCGTCCAGTACGTCCAATCCTATGGACATAATTTTCTATTTCAGCTGGCATGTCGTAGTTGATGACATGTTGAATATCAGGAAAATCCAAACCTTTAGATGCAACATCAGTTGCAACCAAGACATCTTTCTTTCCAGCCTTAAATGATGAAATGGCATACTCTCTCTCTTCCTGATCCTTGCCTCCATGAATAGCCACAGCTTCCACTCCTTTCAAGAGAAGATACTCATGAATGTCATCGACATCAGCTTTGTTCTCACAAAAAATCAGAACAGGAGGTGGTGTTTTCTGTAGGCACTCAAGGAGGTAAACTATTTTTGCCTCTTGTTTGACATACTCTACCTCCTGAATCACATCAAGATTTGCCGCTCCCGCCCGCCCCACATTGACAATAATAGGTTTCACCAAAGCACTTCTAGCAAAGTTTTGAATTTTGGTCGGCATTGTAGCAGAAAATAAGAGAGTTTGCCTTTGAGCTTTAAAGTGATCAAAAACTTCTCTTATATCATCTTCAAATCCCAAATCTACCAATCGATCAGCCTCATCTAATGTCAAATACCTGCAGTTATCCAGATTCATTTTTTTCTTGGCCAACATATCCTTCAACCTCCCAGGCGTAGCAACAACCAAATGAACCCCCTTCTTGACAATCTCAAGCTGTGATCTCATATCAATTCCACCGATACAAAGCAAAGGCCTGAGCTCCGGATATCCGGCTTCCTTCAACGGCAACAAGAACTGTTGAATAACTTCATAAGTTTGCCTGGCCAATTCCCTGGACGGACAAATAATCAAACCAAACGGACCCTCCCCGGGAACCAAAGGCATCATAATCTCCTCCTGCATGGCCATCATAATCATCGGAAGCACAAAAACCAAAGTTTTACCCGAACCCGTGAAAGCAATCCCAATCATATCCCTCCCAGATAAAATAACAGGAAGACCCTGCACCTGAATGGGCGTAGGCTGCACAATCCCCTTAGTTTTCAACATCTTCAGAATGGGATCCGGAAACCTCATGTCCTTAAAATTCTTAATCGGGGGCGGAATATCTTCACCGTTAACAATAATATGCCACTGTTTCTGAATAAATTCGCAATCTTTCTTGGACATCCGTCTTATATGCAAAGGAGGCTTCCACCCAGTAGGCAAAGGCTCGGTATAAGTAATCCCCTTAGCTAATTCGCGAACAGACATAAGGGTTTTCTTGTCGGATAAATTATCAATCATCTCCTTCTCCTGTTGAACAATCTGCTCGGTAACACTGATCTCAGGTTGGTCTTTCTTCAACTGCGATGCCTTAACAAGTAGACTCGGCTTCGTTTCAACCACTCCTACTTTCTCCGTTTCATCGTCGATCACAGCCGAAGCCTTCCCTTTGCGTTGGAGAATTTTCTGTGCCTCCATAGCGCGACGCTTTGCCACAGGAATATACTCCTCGTAATCATCTTCTTCCATTTTTGCTATCACTGACTTTAAAATTAAATAAAAAAAACAGCTTCTTAAATTAAGCCCTTTTCGCAAACCTGGAATCGAATTTGGGAGTGCTTCTGGCCGACGACAATCAACGCCGGCTGCGAAGAGTTCAGTTTAAATCGAACTCCGGTTATCAGTTTTCTTCTTGTATTAGGGTTTTAACAGATACTCCTAGAGAAATAGGATTAACAACTTGTTTTTCTAATGTAATCCATCCGTCTCAAAATAATATAAAAGAAAAAATATAAGTTATATTTATTAATAAAAGTATAAATTTATTATTTTTTTAAAATAAAGTCTTTAAATCAAGTAGTTTGGCCTAAGATCCATTTAAGGTTGTAATTTGAAAAATATTAGATTTAGTTTCTAAGTGAAAATAATATTTGATCAGTATTTAAATTTTTCGGTATGAATTCTAAATTGTTAGGATTCGAATGTGAAAATCAAAAAAATAAAATAAATAAAATTTTTGAAAAAATATAAAAGTAATTTTAATTAAATATTGATTACTAAAGTAATGGAAGAGAATATAAAATAAATATAATTTTAATTAAATTTTGAAATTGATAAAAGATAATTTTTTCTCATATATTTTAAAATAATTTTTTTTTATATTTTAAAAGTAAGAGAGTATTAATTTATACTCTGATTCTTAAGAAAATAAAAGTCTATTAAAGATAATTATATGTTTTAATTTAGGAGTTATAAATTAATAGACTTTCGTTTCCTTAAAAATCTGAGTATAAAAAAAGTATTACACATATAATTAATTATAATTTTTACATTGCTAGCAATGGAAGACATGTATCTAATAATTTTAAAGTCTCTTTCCTTTTTTCTTTGTAGCATGAGTCGTGCAATAAAACAAACATCTTATCATAATTTTAAAACGTAATTTAATATATTTTAATATGTAATAGTATTTGTAATTGCAATTAATGTATTATTATTTTTCTTAAAAAGAAATTTGAAATATTAATTGTAAACACAAAAATAGGATACCTGTAAAAAAATAAGAGTATATAATAAGAATCATTTAAATAAAAAAGATAAAAATATATATTTATTATTGTTTTAGAAAATAATTTTAAATTTATTTTAAATTTAATTTCTTTTTTAATAAAAATTATGAGATAATAATAAAATTTAAATGATTAAAATTTAATTTTTATCTTTCTTATTTTTATACTTTTTTGTTAATAAATATTTTTCTAAAAATAATATAGTAGATGTGTGTCATAAATAAATTTGATTTGGATGTGTTTATGTGTTTTTAATATTATTATTTTTTGTACAATAGTATATATTCATCTTTTTCATAGATTGTTTTAGATATGAAGATAAAGAAATGAGTATGTTTATTTTGGTATTAATCTTGTTTTTCTTTCTCATTTTTCTTCTAGATCAAATTTTCAAATAAAATTATAACCTTTATGTTTTTTATAATAAATTTGACTTTATTCATATTTTTTAATTTATATTTTTTTATTTCACAAATTTATTTTTTAAATAAAGAATTTGAAAGAAAATAACACTACCTATTTTAAAATTATTTATTTTTAGATTTGTTGATTTTGCCTCTAATTCTTAATTTTAAATATTATTTATTATTTTTCTTTCATCTATTCATATTCTTAAATTTTTAGATTTTAAAGATATTTAATATTATTTTTAATTTCTTCTTTAGAAGATTCTTCGCAAAAAAACTATCACTTATATTTTTGGCTTTTTTATCTTAGGCGACGAGGCTTTCAAGAAAATATTCTATTTTTTCTTTGATTTTCTCTTGTTTTTCAAATTTATTTGGCTTGCAGCGAGCCGTTTCAGTTCATTCTCGTGTTCGGTCAGTTTTTCAAATAGTTTTGTGATATCCAAATTATTAAGATCATTTGATTCTTTGATGGTCGTAACTTTTGGTTGTCATTTCTTATACATAGATCTTAAAATTTTGTTAGCACAATCTACAATCTGAAGGTAGAGAAAACACAATCTGAAGGTAGAGAAAACACAATCTGAATTGAGTTTTTAGAAAATATTTCTCTTTAGAAAACTATTTGATTGATTTGTGAAAGAATATAGAAGGCTAGAAATAAAAAGGACACATTCAGTTATTCAGGTTCACCATTAAATAGGCTACTCATGTCCACCCTCCTCAAGTGATTTTGCCTTCAACAAGAACTTAATCCACTATAACCAAAACTGATTACAATCCACAATAAGTTCGATCAACCTTGCTGACATCCACAACAAATTCAGTTGATCTTTATTTCCATTTCTGCAAAGACTGCAACCTATGTCTTCTTGAGAATCCTCACTCAACGGAGTTTCTCAAAGAATATCACAATGATACGTTCAGTGATCTCCACGAGATATAACGTTCATTGACCCACCTAGAATCCGACCAACATGGTCTCCTAGAAAGGATTCCATCCACGATGACCGCAACCACTCGTCTTCTCAAGTCTTCTTATCTTCACTCGATCACTTGAGGAACCACCAATTCTAAACAAAATTGTTTTTCTAGAGATTACATGAGTGCTTCTTATCAAGCCGGTTACTCCTAGTTTAAGTACATAATATTTGACACAATTTTGAGCAATAACTCTTGTGTAAAAACAATTTACATGAAGATTCTTAAGATATAACACAATTTGAGCAACATCTCTTGTGTTTTACATGATTTCTACAAACATGAATATAATGTAAATTGAGTGCAGTATCTTGTGTAAAATCAAGCATCACAAATGAGCTTTTGTTTTGATGAAGACAAACCATGGCTAACAAAGAAGGCAAAGATTTTTGATCAAGCTCAAAGCATCTAAGGATAATATCTTCATTCAAAGCTCTCAACAACTTTAAAGGTATAATAATATTATCTACTTTGATCTTAAGATATAGATGCTCAAAAATGAAAAAGAATTGTTTAAAAAATCATTACTCAAGTTTTTCAAAGTTAAAATTTCATTTTCTCTTGCATGCAATCGATTTACTTTCTAGTGCAATCAATTGCACATCTCAAATTTTTAGATCTTTTGCTTCTGTTTCTTTGTGCAATCGATTTACATTGCTTGTGCAGTCGATTGCATACTTAAAATTTTCAGATCTTTTACTTCTGTTTCTCTGTGCAATTGATTTACATTGCTTGTTCAATTGATTGCATACTTAAAATTTTCAAAGCGTTTGTTTTTGTTTCTCAGTGCAATCGATTTACATTGCTAGTGCAATCGATTGCACTCACTTACTTTTTGCTACTGACTTTGCATGCAATCGATTTAAATTGATAGTGCAATCGATTGCACTCTTAAAAGTTTTTAAAAAATAGCTATTGAAACCTTGTGCAATCGATTTACACAAAGGGTGCAATCGATTGCATGTTGCACGATTTTGAAAAATAGCAGCTTTGTACATGCTTGTTCATCATGCCTTTTCATTGAATCTTTTCACTCAAACTTGGCATTTGTTCATGATACATTTTCAGAACTTCATGTTGTTTCAAAAAGGGTGTTATGAACATATAAATATTCAATTTCAAAATCTATTTCAACACCTCTTCCATAAATATTTTCTGAAATTTCAAAATACAAACTCAAGCATTCCTTCACCTTCATGCATAAGTTTTCTGCACATTTTCATACATTAACAAGCAGAAAACTTTGAGCAATTATATCTTGAGTCATTGTACAATAATATTATTGGAAGAGAAGATCATACATTGTTAAATCACTCTAAGTGATCAATATTACTCTACTCACTCAAACTCAAAAATTGATATTTACTTACTTATTTTTTCAGGATTGTTGGAAATAAGTTTAAGTGTTTTTTGAAATCTTGTCTTTCCAAAGTTGTTGGATACAAGTGTAGTTACATTGAGAGGATTGTTCTCATAGATAACTTAGTGAAAATCCAAGAGGATTGTTCTTGGTCCAAGAGGATTGTTCTTGGTTACTTGGTAATTCTTTGTTTAAGTTTGTCACAATAAGGAAATCTCTTTCATGTTGAAAGGGGACTGGAGTACTCTCGGACTGTGAGGGGAACCATGATATATCGCTCGTGTCTCTTTATTTTTCTGCATTTTTAAGCTTTCCTAAACTCACTTTTAACCAGAAAAATAAGAACCATCATCACTAAAAACCAAAATTTTTAAAGTACCTATTTCACCCCCCCCCCCCTCTTAGGCGCACTTCGTACTTACAATTGGTATCAGAGCAGGTTATAGGTAACCTACTCCTAAAAGATCCATAATGGCTTCCGCAAATCAAAATCTCATTTTCAGAGATGGTGGTAGTAACAACAAGCCTCCTTTATTTTGTGGTGAATATTTTGACTTCTGGAAAATATGCATGAAGGCACATCTATAAGCACAAGGAGAAGAAATATGGGATGCCGTCGAAAATGGTCCATTTATCCCTATAACGGTAATCAATGGCGTTGGCTCATCAAAGCCTAAAACTGCATGGGACGATGATGATAAAAAGAAAGTTCTCTATAACAAAAAGGAAATAAACCTTCTTCAAGGTGCACTTAGCATGGACGAATTCTTCTGTGTCTCGGCATGCAAAACAACAAAAGAAATATGGGATACCTTGGTACAAACTCATGAAGGAACGATTGAAGTAAAAAGATCAAGACTAAATACCCTAAGTCAAGAATACGAATTATTTCGAATGCAGCCCAGAGAAACCATTTTTGACTTACAAAAGAGATTTGTGCACTTGACAAATCATCTAAGTGCTCTTGGTAAAACTTTGACGAATGATGAACTAAATCTGAAAGTACTTAGGTCCTTAACTAGGGAATGGCAACCAAAGGTAACGATAATTTCAGAAAAGAAAAGTTTCTCCAACATGACATCCGCGACATTATTTGGAAAACTTCAAGAATACGAAATAGAACTTGGAAGACTTGAAAAACATGAAAATCAAGAGAAGAAATCCAAGAATATTGCTTTGAAGATAGACTCCAAGGAAGTTGAAAAGGAAGAC